TCATAACTCACGACACCACCGGGGCTTCTTATAGATCTCTCACCATCCCAACTCACTGCCATTGAGTCAAGTCCAATCTTAGCGACCCTGCAGGACAGGGTGAAACTGCCCGGTGAGTTTCGGAGACCGTAATTCTTCACTGAATAGAATGCACCCGCTCTCTCCCTCGGAGCAAAGATCTCTACTAGCAAAAATTCCCCAAGACCATTTCTCACTTCATAATTCAGCCCCTGCCGACAGATATCCTGAAAGTGTTAGCGAACAAGCAAGTTTAGGTCAGAGGTGGACGCCTTGAATGTTCTGGCCAGCACCTCCCTTCCTCTCTTCACCCCCACGCTCCGAGATCAGGAGCAGTGGGGAATGAGGTAAGCAGGTTTGCTGCGGACAGGCTGGCCCTTGCCTGAAGCAATGTTCAAATGTATTTTGCAGTGAGAGAAAGACAGCTGAATATTTACGCGCTAGACTGGCCAGGAGAGCCAGATAATCATTAGCTTCTCATTTAATGATGGGCAGTTTGCATTTCAAGCCTTTACACTTTTTATTTAAATTTTAATCAGCCATTTTATTGGGGGCTCTTACAGCTCTTCTAACGATCCATACATCCATTGTGTCAAACACATGTGGACATATGCTGCCATCACCCTATTCAAAACATTTTCTTTCTACGTGAGCCCTCGGTATCACCTCCTCATTTTACCCTCCCTCCCTCATGAACCCTTGATAATGTATAAATTATTATTTTCATATCTTACACTTTTGACTGGTATTTTAGAATAACTCGTGGATCTTTTAGAATAACTAATGGTATTTTAGAATAACACTCTGCCTTCCTCAAAAGGGGGGAAAAAAAATTCCGGGCTGTGTTGCCAGGTAAACACGGGCTAACCGCAGGTGGGCAGTTCAAATCCACGAGTTTCCGGATCAGGTGCCTCTGAGTCTGGTTTTTGTTGTTTTTGAGCCAGTCCCTCCAAAACAAGGGGGGGTCTCGATAAAGAATTTAAAATCCCTGTATAGCACCATGGTTTGACTCAAGTCTTATAAACCTTCCCTAAGGCCCGTTTAAACTGGGGCAGGTCTTCAAGTTCATGGGCATTCTCCCTGCTCGGACGCTAGGCTGTACCTCTCTCTCCCTGCGCAAAGCAAACTCACAGCCCACAAGTCGACGCTGACTCTCAGAGGTCCTCTAAGGCAGCCGAGCTGCCCTTGGGGGCTTCTGAGACTTTAATTGTGGCAAAACTATACACCACCAAACATTCTCCAAGTCACCAAATTCTCATATAATCCAGTGCCCGTTTGCATGCTTCGTGTTGCAAAAGCATGATTGATATCCTTTCCAAATGATTCCACCACCATTAACATAAGCTCAAAGGCCCCTAAACAACTCCTCTTCCTCTCCTCCCATGGTAACCACTCCCTCTTCCTCTCCTCCCATGGTTACCACTGGTCAAGTCTGGTTTCCTTTCTTGAGGCTGTAACTTTTCACGGGAATAGAAAGTCCCGTCTTTCTCCCACCAAGCAGCTGGTGGTTTTGAACAGCTGACCTTGTGGTTAGCAGCTCCGAGACCCTCTCCCACTCCTGAACTGCCCCCCCAGAAGCCCACGAACGCTGTGTCTGTGACTATGAAGCTGGGTGGTGGGCACTTACCCTCGGGGAAATCGTGGGGCTGGACCACATGCAGGAAGGCGTGCACAAGCCCGAAAAGGGGCGTGATGGGCCCCCAGTCAGGGGAGCTGCTGGTCTCATAGTGGGCGACTGGCAGGTTGAACCGCAGACCGTTAGGATCCCGGGTGGATGACGGGGGTCTTGCGAAGGTGCTCCTACTCAGTCCCAGCAGCAGCAGCAGGCAGCCGTGGACGGGAGCCATGGCTAGCAGGCTGCCCCACTCATGAGGTGGAAAGGGTTCTTGCCTCTTCAGAGGTCTGGAAGCTTCCAGAAGGGAGCTCCCAGCGGCGTCCCTGAGTGGCAGAGGTGTGCTGGACGGAGTCTGCAGATCCTTCCGTTGTCTCGCTGGGCTGGCGTGGGGCGAAGGGGGTGGCCAGCTTTTTTCTCCAGCAGGGTCAGTCCCTACCAGGGAGAGAAAGGACAGCAATTGTGACCAGCCTGCGAGCTGCGTCTGCCTCCACCAGGAGCTCTTCAGAGAGCAGGCAAGTAAGGGCTCAGAGCAAGTCAAGCCGGCAGTTAATCTGGGAGGGAGGGAACCAAGCACAGGCCATGGGAGGGGCTACCACCATGGGAGGGGCTACCACCATGGGAGGGGCTACCAAGAATCTAAGAGCTCAGAGGTCCCTCCTCCGAGGCCCAGGCTCAGAGCGCAGGCCCTACCTGGGTTCAAGAAACACACGGACTTTGCACAGCAGGCTGAGCACATGGGAGCCTCAGAGAGGCTGCTCCCCCAGCATGGATGTAGCTGCTGGGGTGGAGTGGGTTCCAGTGACGCGTTAAGGGACAGAGAACTGCCTGATGAGGCTTCCCCTGGTGCAGTCACACTTCTGGGAAGGAGTACAACCGGAATGCTCCTTAGAGCCAAGGATGGTGAGACTGTCTGACCTTACTTTGGACGTGTTGTCAGGAGAGACCAGTCCCGGCGGAAGGACATCCTGCTGGGTGAAGTGGAGGGGCAGCGGAAAAGAGGAAGGACCTCGATGAGATGGACGGACACAGTGGCTGCAACCATGGGCTCGAATATAAGTAAAACCGTGAGGATGGCGCCGGACTGGGCAATGTTTGGCTCTGCTGCACACAGCGCTGCGATGAGTTAGAACCAGCGGGGCAGCAATTGACAACATAACAGCAGTGTTCCCAGGGCTGTTATCCTTCCAACCGCCGATCCCAAAATCTTGCCCCTGTGGACTCCCTGGTGGAGTCAAACCACTGACCTTTCCGTCAGCAGCCAAATACGGAACCATTATGGCACCGAGGCCTTCCCAGTAGAAAGACAGAGCCCTAAACTACTGTCAACCTCACTAACCCAACTCCAGCTGTGGCCCCCAACTCTGACGCCATGTGGTGACAGACTGCCCTGCCGGGACCCTGGCCACCGCTTCCACAGGGTTCGCTCTGTCCCCACCACACCTTGGGCACTGCAAGCACTGCCCCCCAGACTCTGGAAGGCACTAGCCTTTCCCCAGTTCCAGTCAGGGCCCTGGTGGTGAAGTGGGTCAGGCAGTGCACTTTCAGCAACAAGGTCGGCAGTCCCAAACCACCGCTGGCTCCCCGGGAGAAAGTGAGGCTTTCTACTCCTGTAAAGAGTTGCTGTCTCAGAAATCCACGGGGCAACTCGATGCTGTCCCATAGGATCGCGACCCGTGGAAACTGACTCCAGGGCAGCAAGTGTGGTTTGGTTTGGGTTGGAGTCCGTCACTGCTGTTTTGCTTCCAAGAACATAAGTACGTTCCGTGAGTCCTCTAATGCCTTCCAGGGAAAGCAGATGTCGTGATGGGAAAAAAAGCGCGTTCGCGGCTGCAGGGCTGATGCGACCTTCAGCTCTCCTTTCTCTGGTGGGGAAAGGATCGCTGGTTCGGTTCCTGCAACACCCACCCTGTCCTCCAGGTCTCCTCAAGACCAGGCCACATCCACTCCCTTCCTCTACCGAGGGATGACATGGGTAGGGTTTCCTGTGGTAAAGACTGGGCAAGGCAGGGGCCACTGCAGTGGGCCTTGTCCCTGGGTGTGGGAGTCTGCACATGTGGGAGTCTGCATGTCTCTCAGCCCATGGCCTGCGCCCGTCCGCTGTCTTTAGGCTTCCCATTCCCGGATATTCCCTGGCCTATTGTCCTGCCGGAGTTTGGCCTTTGTGATGATTGGTGCTCGGTGGCAGGCAGCCGCCATGTTCATTGGACACCTCCACCAGGCATCCAAGTGCACCTCATTTGCATGTGGACCGTCCAAGTGCACCTCATTTGCATGCGGACCTGTTTGAAGACTGATACCTGCCATTTCTTCCATATTGTAGCTACATGATTATTGGATACTATTCATTACACTTTATTAGCATATGATGTAATGTTACCCACCCACCATTGGGTATTCATTACACTTTATTAGCATATGATGTAATGTTACCCGCCCACCATAGGGTATTTAAGCCCCTGCCTTCTGCTCAATAAATAGAGGCTTGATCAGACTCCTGTCTTGCCTCCATTTCTCGCGTCTCTTGCCCCTCTTCATTCCCAGTCCTTCTTTCAGGTATCCACGTTGTTTAATGGCCCGCGGGATGGTCACCTGGGCCTGACCCCTGGCAGACACGGGGCAGTGCAGGTAGAGAGCATCCACCACTGTGCCCAAGCTTCCAGAGACCCTTCAACTTCCCACAGGTTGTTGCTGTGGTTAGATGCCCTCAAGTCGGTCTGACCCACAGGGCCCGACATACAAGAGAAGGAAACAATGCCCAGTCCTGCGCCATTGTTGCAGCCGAGGTGTCCAGCCAGCGCGTCCAGGGCCTTCCTCTTGTCGGCTGCTGTGTCTCCCAGGGGGTGAGCAGAGAGTCTCTAACCTCCAAGGAGGAAATACCGGAATTCCCAGGGACCCACCCTGATGCAGCCCTGGGTGCTGGAGAAGCCAGGCAGAGACCCCTGCCAGCGCTGAGATGTTTCCAATGCCACTGGATCCAAAGACTTTCTACCCACTGGCCTGTGATCTTCTACATTTGGCATCATTGCATGTGTTTCGTGAGTCTGAAGAGGACTTTATAGATTGGTATCAGCCATATGGGCTAATATCAGACTTATGGACTTGATCTGGACTGGGCCAGGATGTTTCTCAATGTTCAATTGCTCTTGTATGTAAAATATCTTTCTTATTCACATAGGTGTGTCCATGGATTTGTTTCTCTAGTCTACCCAGACCAACATACACGTCTACAAACACCACACTCACACACCATACAGACACACCTAACGTACACCACACTCACACATTAGGCAGACATACCATACAGACATACCTACACACACCACACTCACACACCGTACAGACATGCCTACACACACCACAGTCACACATTATACAGACACGCCTATATCTCCATACTCACACACCATATTCACACACCACTCACATTGCTCACTCACCTTCCATTCATGTACACACTACATGCCTCACTCACACCACTGCCAAACCACACACTCACACTCCTATTCAAACTCATACACTAAACACCTCACACACACCACTTCCCTACCATACTCACACCCCTCAGGCTTACACATTCCTCACACTCACACACACCACTGCCATTCCACACACTCACACATTCACCCTCCTCACATACGTCATGCTCACACAGCACACCTACACAGCACACACTCACATACCTCTCCCACCCACACCAACACAAACCACACACCTCACAGTCACACAGACCACCACATTCTCAAACCACGCATCCTCACACCTTACACTCCCCCAAAGCACACGTGCTTAGCACACATTCACACACAAACACACACACATACCACACACCCCAAATCGCTTCCCCTGAAGGGCAGGTGAAGCAGGAAGCCGGGTGCAGGGGGACTCGGGGCCCTGGGGCTAAGAAAGACCAGCTTCCTGTAAAGCCAGCCTGGCCCAGCCAGGCAGCAGTGAGAAACAGCAGTGGAGAGAGGGCAAGAGGCCCGGGGGAGAGCTAGGAATAAACAGGCTCTCAAACACCCTTGGGAAAGCAGGGCAGGGGAGGCCTCAGAGACAGGAGGTGCCCGCTCTCCTCCCCTCCCCACTTCCTCATGGCTGAGGAAGGGGACCTGGGCCAGGGTGGCACCTGGAGCCTTTCGGACTTCTATCCACCTGGCTCCCAGGTGGGGATGGGGTCAGGTGCCATGCTGTTGGCTCTGCCTCCCATGAGCCACAGACTACCCATGCTCACAATCTCCCCTGTGAGAGTCCCACGTGGCTGCCGCTGGGTCTGCCCATCTCACTGAGGGTCTTCCTGCTTTCACGGACAGTCCACCCACCGTGGCATCCTGGCGGCGCAGCGGGTTGTGCACAGAGCTACCCACCAGCCACTCTGAGAGAGAAAGAGGAGTCTTTCTACTTCCATAAAGAGTTACAGTCTCATTGGTCGGTATAAGACATGAAAAAAAAAACATAAATTATCAAGGGTTCATGAGGAAGGGAGGGAAAGAAAAACTGAGGAGCGGATACCGAGGGCTCAAGTAGAAAGAAAATGTCTTGAAAAGGATGATGGCATCATATGTACCAATGTGCCTGACACAATGGATGGATATATGGATTGTGATAAGAGCTGTATAAGCCCCCAATAAAACGATTAAAAAAAAAAAAAAAAGAGTTACAGTCTCAGAAATCCACAGGGGCAGTTCTGCCCTGGGTCCTACAGGGTTGCTGTGAGTCGGAATCCAAGTGAGCGTTGAGATATTTTTTGCTCGCTACTTTACCAAGCGTGATGTCCTCCTCCAGGGACTGGTCCCTCCGGAGAACATGCTCAGAGGACATGAGAGAGTCTCACTTCTAAGGAGCATTCACACACTCCAACTGTGCTTCTTCCAACACAGCTGTGTTCGTTCTCTGGCTGCCCACGAGATAAACAGTCAATGATCTTTGCCTATACCACAGCTCAAATGCAGTAGGTGTCCCCCACCCCTTCAGTTCAGGACCAAGCTTGAAGGAAAGATTAAAGTCTCACTGTTGATGAAAATCTCTCCTCCTGCATAGAGTCGATTCTGACTCAAAGTGACCCTATAGGACACAGTAGAAGCGCCTGTGTGGGTTTCCGAGACGGTAACTCTTTCCGGAAGCAGCAAGTGTCCTCTTCCTCCCACAGAGAGTCTGGTGATTTCGAACTACTGACCTTGTACAGTGAGTAGCCCAATGCCTAACCCACTACCCCACCAGGGTTCCTTCTGAAACTTCAGACAATCAAAAAGTCACATCAAAAAGGAGGAACCTCCTTTCTGAATGGAAATGAGCCAGGTATCCCCTCTCCCCCAAAAAGGAAGCCTTCCAGGTGGGAGATGGGGTTCAGAGCCCAGGCAGTGCGCCGCCTGTGCAGCCCCCAAGCTGTCTGTCAGGGAGACGTG